AAAAAAATAACCTTAAGGGACAACTTGAAAGCTTTTTTTCTTTTTTTTCTCTTAATGCATTGCATAAAGATCGGATCGGGAAAAATCGGTATCGGCTAATTGTCAAAATCAAATGATCGGAATCGGATCGGGAGCAAAAAAAGGTGATCGGGACATCCCTAATTGTGGGTGTTGTAGTCCTCACCAGGGGAGCGGGTTCAAACTGTAGGATGACATGTTGCATGAAGACCAGCAGGTGGGTCGGCCGTGACTTCAACAGATCGATGTTGTTGAAGTGTGTGCACTGGTCCTCCGTCACCTGAGACACAGAAACAGATCGGTCCGAGACCCCCCCAGAGTCAAACAATGTATAAAAGCAAAAAAATTGTATTGCAACACAAAACCTTAAATGCAAAGTCATAGTTATCGTTCTCTGTCCGTTGTAAGGCACTGTGGCGAGCCACCTCAGGACAATGACGCATGTTGAACACAGGAACATGTTAACAAAGTACACACTGAGTGCCTGGCCTTAGTAACAGGCAGAGATAAGAAAAACATGGCGGCACAACAGAGCGACTAACTGTGTGCAGGAACTGATAAAGAGACAGAGCAGCACTTCCTCACAAAAGTTCAACCTAAAAGAACATCTAAATGGTACTGGGGTAAATGAAAGAAAGCTGCATTTTTCTGTTTTCAATGTTTGTATCAGCTTTGTGTTAGAGGGTTTATTTATTCTTGCAGAGAGGTTGAAACATATGTTTATGGATCTGAACAAATTGACATGTTTATATACTTACGCATTATAAAACTGTTTGTTTCTGCCTGCCTCTATCTGGGGGAATCAGCCAGACTTGTGTAATCTACGCCAGGCCTCACATCTCTTTTCTTTTACTTGTGTAAAACGTGTTTGAATTATCAGCAATATCCTTCAGAATGACGGCAGATTACGACAAAATGACTCTCAGCTCGTCTCAGTCTCAAGCAACTTCTTTTTGTACTCACATCATTCAGATCATTCTCGAAGTCCTCATCCTCAGCCCCGATGATGCTCATGGCTGGGTTAGAGCACTGAGCCCCAAACTCGCCCTGCTATGCAGAAAGAGGGAGGGAGGGAGAGAGGGAGAGAAGAGGGGAAGAAAACAAGACAATTAGCTAACATTATGGGCCATACTTTGAACCGGTAGGCTTCCTCTTTGACGTCCTGAGCCCCCGCTGAGTCGAGCCAGACATAAAGAAAGATTAAGGTTTGGACACAGTGAACTTTCCCAGTGAGAAATCACATCAAGCGGAAAGCAGGAAAACTTCCCAGCATCCGATCACGCCTTCCTCGACGGAGAGGGAGACATACAGGCTGATATGTCTACGAGTAGGATGCCTTTCATATGAGCAAAGTAAGGTCAAGCAGCAGCTACAGGTACAGCTAATCTCTCCTGTAAGGAATCATGTGGCTGCTGGAAAAGAGACACTGATAATGACAACAAAAAACTATTAAAAACTGTTTTTAAGAGATTTTTTGTTAGATGGTGAATGTTCTTTCAAGTCCTGTGAACCACATTCACACTTTAACATTACTTTTAAGTGTTCAAATCAAAGGGGAATAATTCAGTGTGTAACATTCATTGCAAATAGCATAACAAGTTGAGTTTTCCATCAAGTTTGGCCAGTTTCTGCCTCTGGAAATTACTTTTCTGACTAGAGTTGTGTTCAAACGCTCCGCTAGCTGCCATGACGTGTTCCCTCCCTGTCAAAAAAAAAGGAACACATCTGAAAAAAATGAGAGGTTGTGCTTGCTTTTGAAATCCATGAATTGGAAGCAAAATACATCGGAACGGGTGACCGGCTTCCCCCCACCTTTTACACCCTACGCCACTTCCCCCCTACACACATCTAAAACACACAAACAACACAAAGCTCTTGTATTGAGTTCTCCGAAGGCCGCAGCCCCAGCGCCGCTACCAGGGAACACCCAAACACAAACACACACATGAAAGAGCCACGGATACACTGTACAACATTTACCATTGTCCCTGTTGAGTGAGTACAGAGGGCAGAGAGAAAGTGAGAGCTAAAGAGGTGTGAGAGTGAGTCAAAAGTAATGAGAGGAAAAAGTTAGTCCAATAGCCCCGGTGGGGGGGGGGGGGAAGCCTTGAGAAACTTTAAGTTCGGAACACTTTGGGGTTTTCTATTATATAGATTCAGAGTTATGAATATTCCATAGCTGTACACATCCAGGTTTCATTTCCATACTGTATGCGTGATGGTATCGAGTGAGAGTACCTGGAGGTCATCAGTGTTGAGCGATAGGACCATAATAACCTTCATGTAACCAGAGATCCTCCAGCAGTCGCTGTATATCAGAATCAAGGTTAAAGACTCAATACTAATCTGGAATAACCCACCTGAGAAGAGTCTGTGCTCTCTTGTTTATATATAATACCCTGTTTTATAGGTTATTTACTTCTTTTTTAGTATGTACTTTTATTATTAGGCACCCTGTTTAAAGCGCCTGGTTGTCTGTTTTGGTTTTACATTGTAAAGCTCCAATAGTGTTTATGAATAGAGTGCATTATTTGCATTATTCACATACACTAGAACAATAAAAAACGGTCAGCCTTTAATATATCTCCTATATATAATCAGAAGAGATTATTAGTAGCATTGTTGCATGAAAGTGACAAAATCATAATAATAACAGCTATCCCTTTGACATTACTATACAATGGGTGTCTAGTATAGGGTGGTTTGAGTTGATTTTCTAAAACCCTTTTATTTGTTTATAGGTATAAATATTATGACATGAAATAACATATGCTTGAATAAAAGCATAATTCATCACTCAGTATCTCTAAAAGACGTAAGTACAATATGTTTTCTGTGTTTGATTTATATGGGCTCAGAACAGTCTCATAATACACACATGCACACAGAAGGATTCACACTTGTATTTCATGATGCGCAAAAGGATTCACACTTGTATTTCCGGATCCACACTTGTGTTTTTCAATGCGAACACAAATGTATTCCGTTTCATATACATGTAAATAAAATCCAAACACAGAACAAAGTTTTAAATGTGTATTTTTGATCCACACATCATTTGTTTTCCGTTTAAAACCTCTGAACCTGCAAACACAAACCGCTTTCTGTGCACGGATCGCTGTGCATTCGTGTGTGGGTTTTTTGAGACTCTCCTGACGGTCAGCCGATTCGTACTTGTAATTTTTTCTATCTATAGCCAATCAGATGTCTCCTCAATTCTAAGCCAATTACATGAGCGCGCCCCCACGAGGGTAGATTTCTTGCGTTCATTACGTAGCGCTTCATGTACGCATTTTGCGCAGTCCGGAGCTGACAGGTCCATGGAGCCTGCCTGCAGGCGCTAATCTCAGGACACCTCCACTCTCAGTACATTGCCACTTTCCGAACAGGAAATGCACGCAAATACAAGCCTTTATATTATTAAGGTACAGCGCCACTTTCCGAACCATTGATGAATGCTTGTGTGTACACAAAAACGGCA